AGAAGAAGAAGAAGAAGAAGAAGAAGAAGAAGAAGAAGAAGAAGAAGAAGAAGAAGAAGAAGAAGAAGAAGAAGAAGAAGATGATTCAGGCAGATTTGGAAGAAGAATCTGCAACTGACAATTCAAAAGGTATAAGCAGGATCAGTTGTAGGGATCGGCTGGTGAAAATGCTGGGCACTTGCATCCCCTTTCTGACCTGTACCACACCCCTAACTGTCCTCTGTGACCCCCATGACACCTCTACTGCACCCCTATGCACTCTGCTTGACTTGCACTGCATCTCTGTGTGCCCTTCTCTACCCATGCCATTTCTCCTGCACAACTCCACCACCTGTTCCCCCACCTTTACTGCCCCCGTACTGCAGTCCCATCCATCTTCCTGACTATAGTGCACCACCTCGCACATACCATTCGCAACTTGTGCTGCACCTGCACATTTCTTATCTGACCCCTTTGGCCAGGGGTGGGATTCCACTGGTATAACAACCAGTTCAGAAATCATGTGCTTTGCGTGTGTTCCTGCCAAACGCACGCTCTGAGTGTGCGCTCCACAATTCAAACAGCTATAATACTTACCTTCTACAACAGTCCCTGTGAAGAAAACAGCTGAGGCACAGCAAACTGCTCTACTGTGCGAATCAGCTGTGCTCTAAACAAAGGAAGTAAAGGACAGGAAAGAGCAGGGACGGACGGACAAGCCCACATGCTCGTCGCAGTGAACCGATTCAGAGGCAGCTGATCTTCGGAGCAAGGGGTTTGCCCAAACCAATCCGAACCAGTAGAATCCCACCCCTGCCTATGGTGCACCCTTCCTAACCCATCCAGCATAACTCATACAACCTTGTGCATCTCCTTCCACCCTTCCTGACCTGTGCTGCAGAGGTGAGCAAGAGATACCGCATGGGTCAGGAACGTGCAGTCCTGTGCATATTGGAGAGTGCATGTGGAGGTGTGCAAGAGGTACTGCATAGGCTGGAGAGCTTACATAGGGATGTGGCATGGATTGCCATACCAGTGATGATCCAGCAGGCCACATGAGTTTTTAGTAACAAACATTAGTTTAGAGAAGAATAGTATGTGTGTATTTCTGTAGGCGTGTGACTGACTAGAAAGTTTATTTCCTTTTTCCCAAACTTTGACAGGCACAGACACTCGCTAGCAATGTTAAGGCTACTCTAGCGAAGTTCATGACATATGGAACAATATAACTTGAAATTTAAGAACAGTAAATAGTGAAGAATGTGACTTAGTGAATGAAATGAAGAAATAAAAATAGACTAAATTCTTGATTTAACAGACTAATTGGAAACCTGTTAAAGCCTAAAGCCAATCAGTGGGATTTTATGCATGAGTAAAATGTACATGGAGTCCGTAAACTATACACTGTGTACATAAAACTTAGATAATATATGTACTCTGTCCAGATTGATTGGCAAACAATAAATTTTGTCTGTTGTTTTGGGTAAAGTGTAACCTTAGATTTTGCCTGTTAGATTCAAAATCAGCTGAACCAAAGATCGTAAATTGAAGGTGGACTGTGAATATGTTATGTGTTTGTGGAACTAAGAGAAAGGGGAAAGATATAATAGACTTGACTGAAAGTGGCCCAATCTTGTGAAGTCCAATATATGCATAAGGAAATGAATGTGAGAACAAAAAAATGTGAATTGGTTTTATCCATGACTTGGTGGCTGTGTATCAAAGTAGGACTTCATAGTTCGATGAAAACATATTTTGGTGAATAATAGGATAATGGAGGAACCAAGGATGAGAAAAAACTAGACAACACTGTAAATGAATGCAATCCTTATTCTGTTAGATGAACTGACTGGATGGGTGGAAACAATCTAAGAATAACTTGAGCCATCTTGAGATACAAGAATGGATGAGAAAGGTGATGGTTTGGTGATTGCTAAGAGAAAGATATTATTTCAAATATGTCATTTACACATAACTCTACTCATTTCTGCAAATGGAAAATAAATAAATAGAAAAGATTATTGATATGTTTGCTTAGAATGAAAGACAAAACATCTGGTAATGAAAGCTATATTGGTAATGAGATATTCTGGGTATGGGACAGTCCTTTTTTGGTAAAGTCAGAAATATCTCCAGGAAAACAGATGTGGAAGGAAAAGGAAGATGTGAAAAATATGAGTGAAAGTAGAATGCATGCAGAAAAAGAAAATATTAATCATATAAAAAGTATTAGATTATATATTTTTTAAATTTCCTGATAAAATGTAGAGAGGGTGTGGTAGCTGCTTGGAACAGAGTAAAAGGAATTATTTTATGGAATGTGACACAGGTATCTGGAGAAATATGAACAAAGATCTTTGTTAGTGTGAAGAAATAAAAAAAGTTCTGGAAATGTAATTACTGTAAGGGAATATTAATGCAAAAAATGAGGATGAAAGATATTGCATGTCAACAGAGGATAAAATATAGTTTCAAGGAATATAGTGAAAGAACAAGAAACAAGATTAAGAAGCAGAGAAAAGGCAGAGTGGTTTTAATGGAAATAATAATTTAGGTGAAGGGGGCTAAACAATGAGCCTCCAGCATAGTGAAAGGAATTAAAAATAATAGAAATCAAATGATGTGGAAGAAAGATGAAGTAAGAGAATGATGATGGAATATTTTAGGGATCTATATGGAAATACAATAAATATGATGAAATATAGAACTGAAGTGAATATTGTGTTAGTGTCCAAGAAATAGAGGTGAAGAATAAATTTTCAATCAGAATAGAGATGGAAGAGACCTTGGAGGTCTTCTAGTCCAGCCCCCTGATCAAGCAGCAGGGCCATTTCAGACAAGTGACTGTCCAGTCTCTTCTTAAAAACCTTCGGTGATGAAGCACCCACAACTTCTGAAGGCAAGGTGTCCCACTGGTTAATTGTCCTCCTTAATTCCATATGGTTTCTCTCCTTGATTAGTTTCCATCCATTGTTTCTTGTCCTACCCTTTCTGGTGCTTTGGAAACTAACTTGACCCCCTCCTCTTTATGGAATACTGCTATCATGTCTCCCCTAGCCCTTCTTTTCTCTAGACTAGCCAACCCCAAATCCAGCAACTGTTCATCATATGTTTTAGTCTCCAGGCTTCAATCATCTTAGTTGCTCTTCTTTGCACTTTTTCCAAAGTTGTCTCAACAACATTTTTTGTAATGTGGTGACCAAAACTGGATGCAGTATTCCAGGTGTGGCCTTACTAAGGCTTTCTAAAGTGGTACTAACACTTCATGTGATTGTATTCTATGCTTTTGTTTGTACAACCAAAGATTGTACTAGCTTTTTTGGCTGTTGACGCACAGTGCTGGTTCATATTCAAGTGATCATCCACTAGGAGCCCAAGGTCCCTCTCACAGTTACTGTTTTTGAGCCAGGTTTCACTCAATCTGTACTTGTACCATTGGTTTTTCCTGCCCAGGTGTAAAACTTTGCTTTTCTCCACATTAAATTTCATGTTGTTGGGTAGGACCATTGTTCAAGTCTGTCAAGATCTTTTTGGATCCTGAGCTTGTCTTCTGGGATGTTGGCTATTCCTGCCAGCTTAGTGTCATTTGCAAATTTGATGAGTTCCCCTTCTATTCCCTCATCTAAGTCATTTATGAAGATAACGGCAATGCTGAAGAACAATAAGCCTGCAAGTGTAGATGGGACAATTAGAAAAATATTAAAATATGGATGTGGTTTGGCCATGGAAAGATTGTGCAACTTATTTAATATAAGCAGGCACATTGGTTAGAAAGTATATTGCAGGCTAATTCTGCTCAATGTAGTATTGCAGGCTAATTCTACTGAATGCCAAGAGTTCGATTCTGACTGGCTCAACATTGACTCAGCCTTCTATCCTTCCAAGGTTGGTGGAGGCAATATGCTGACATTTGTAAACAGCTCAGAGAGTGCTATAAAATACTATGAAGTGGTATATAAGTTGAAGTGCTGTAGTTATATGACTGTGAAGATTACAACTATATATGGCAACTGGAAGAATACCTTGACTCTAAAGATATCATTGAATGCAAAACTATAGAGACATGACTTGCTATGCTTTCTGGGAAAATGTTTGAAAAAAATCTATCTGAAAAGTGACAATGAACAA